TGAGCCACCTAGGCGCCCTCCCTCAGATTTAAAATACACCCTACTCCCTAGAATTCCTGTGAGATTTTGTTCCTCTCTTTACTGAAGCCCTGACCACACGTGTCTTGTGTTATTACAGTGTGTGTGTGTGTTTGTGTGTGTCTGTGTATGTTGTACGTGCATGTGTGTGTGTTTTACCTCAGTTACACTATAAGCTCCTTGGGGCGGGGTGTACCTGGGTGGCTCAGTCGGTTAAGCGTCTGCCTTCGGCTCAGGTCATGATCTCAGGGTCCTGGGATCGAGTCCCACGTCAGGTTCTCGGCTCAGTGGGGAGTCGGCTTCTCCCTCTCCCTCTGCCCCTCCCCCCTGCTCATTGTCTCTCTCTCTTTCTCTCTCTCCAATAAATAAAGTCTTTAAAAAAGAAAAGCTGCTTGAGGGCAGGCACTTCATCTCTACAATGTCCTCCCAGCAATATCTTCCACACAAGAAATAATAAATGTTTCCTAAATGAACAAATCCTCCAAAAGCATTGGTTTTCATCTGGGCCCCTTGTAAGGAGTGTCTAACAAATGTGCACTGTGAATTCCAATGCAGTGGTTAAAAGACAGCTTAGCATTAAAAATTTCCTGCAGCATCGTTATCGGAAATTATGCTGGAAAAGTAAAAACTAAAAAGCAATGTAAGAACACCTTATGTGATGATTTCACTCAACTTTTTAAAAAATTAATAAGCAGCAGGCAGGAACTAGGTAATTTGGCTGCTCTGAGAGTTTCTGCTTCTCTCTCCGAGGCTCTGGAGGGTGAGCTATTTCCCAAGGGATCGGCAGCTCCGAAGCAAACCTCGAGGTGATTGCCACTAAGAGAAATCGCTGATAGCCAGGAGGGTTCTGCTTCCACAATTGGGGGAACATGTGGGTCTGCGGGTGACGGAGCTGGGCTCGGCCACTCTGATGGGTACACACAAGCCCCACCGTCCCCTTCCTGTCGGTGAGCGGCCAGGTATCCATTCCGTTGTCTTTGCTTTGCCTGAGAGAGGGCAGAGGATGGCATAAGGGAGGGCCTGTGGCCGGGGGGCGGGGGGGTCTGCAATCTTCGAGGGGAAATGTGCGGAGAGGCAAAGACTGGGGAGAAGGCAAGGTACCCCTTTGAAAGGCCATGTGGGCCACATCAAAGAGTGAATCTCCCATGGGGGAGATGACAGGGTGCTCAAAGTTTTAAGCAGAGGACTATGATGACTGCATTACAGTCTGGTAATCATTCTTACAAAGAGCTCAGTAGCTGAGCCAAGGGGCTCACCCCCACACCGGCTCCCATGGGCACCACCAAGGAAACATACATTCTAACTTAGAAGCATGTTGGTTACATCCCTGCAGCAGAAAAATAAGAACCGGAATACCTAGGACTTACTGAAGCTTCCCGGGTGCCAGGCGCTATTCGAAGTGATTTTAGAAATCACCGAACTCGTGGTAACGCTGCGGTAACTCATTTAATCTGAACAAGAAGGAATGGGAACTTGAAGTCACACATCTAGAGGCGGTGGCGCCGGGGCTCAAACCCACGCGGGCTCGGTCTGGGAGCCACGCTCGGGACCTCAGCATGTCCACTGTCCCCCTCATCACCCCAGCTTCCACTTGCCACTGGGTTGTCTCCCCTCGGCCGCTCCTGTATAGAAATCCTGGACTGCAAACAGGGGAAACTGTGAGGAGGGCACCGGAAAGATGCTGGGGAGACGCAGTGGTGACCGGGGACAGTGAAGACAGAAATGAAGAGGTGTGAGAGAAATGAAGGAGCTACTCAGCAGGACTTGATAAAGGGAAAAATGCTCATTGGACACCATTGGACACCAGCCCGGAGCCTGCTTCTCCCTCTCCCTCTGCCGCTCCCGGTGCTGTGCTCTCTCAGTATCAAATAAATAAAATCTTAAAAAAAGTAATATGTATTTCTTACAGAAAGTTTAGAAACTACAAATAAGTTTAAAAAAAGGACAATAAAATAACCTGCAATTCCATCATCCAGACACAACCATGGTTAGCTTCTTGAGATGTATCCCTGCCCTTTTTCAATGAACAGATTAACAAATGACATTGGGGGGAAAAAATACTATAATGTTGCTATTATTACCAGTTGGGCTAGTCCCCAGGATTAAGTCATAGCTTTTTTTTTTTAAGATTTTATTTATTTATCTGTCAGAGAGAGAGAGAGAGAGCACAAGCAGGGAGAGTGGGAGGCAGAAGGAGAAGCAGGCTCCCCGCTGAGCAGGGAGCCCGATGTGGGGCTCAATTCCAGGACCCCGGGATCATGACCTGAGCCGAAGGCAGATGCTTAACTGACTGAGCCACCCAGGAGCCCCCAAGTCATAGCTTTTAATAACAAAAGTACAGCAAAGAGCTGCAGGTAAACTTTTTTATGGTAAAAAGCAATATGTGAATGGCCCTTTATGGAGTATGCCACCCACTGCTGTCTACTTTGATCTGAAAACAACCCTTTTATATTAGTTTGTTCGGGCCGCTGTAACAAAGACCCACTGACTGGATGGCCTAACCAGCAGAAACGTGCTCTCTCACAGCTCCAGAGATGAGCACTCCACGCGTCGGCAGGGTCACTTCCTTCAGAGGATGAGGGGGAGTCTGCTCCAGGCCTCCCCTCCAGCTCCTGGTGGTTTGTGCTCCATCTTTGATGTTCCTTGGCTTATAATCTCTGCATTCATCTTCATGTAGTGTTTTCCTGGGTGTGTGTGCATGTCTGTGGCTAAATTTCCCCTTTTTATAAGGACACTAGTCCTATTGGACTAGGGGCCCACCCTACTCTGGTATGACCTCATCGAACGAATTACATCTACAAAGACCCTATTTCCAAATCAAGGGACATTCTGAAGGACTCGGGGTTTGGACTTCAAAATGTAACTTTGGGGGGTGGGGGCGGACACAGTCCCTAACACCCTTAGAGCAGGTAAAGCAGGAATTACTCTTATTCCCATTTTAAAGATAAAGAAACCGAGTCTCAGAGACATGAAGTAATTGAAGGTAAGTGAGACCCCAGGTCCCAAAGTCAAGTCCGCTCTCTGGCTCAGCAGTCCGTGCCTCTTGCTGAGATTGTGTAGCTGTTCTCCCACACTCAGAGCAGTGAGAACCAAGGCTGTCCCGAGGCGTAGAGAGAGGGGGGAAGTTGTCCAATGTGGTCTCCTCTTAGAATCAATGGCAGATACCCAATTATTAGAAGCATCATTTGGCTTATTCAATTGCTGCCCCCACAGCTGCACCTCACGAGGGCTTGACCTCCAGGGAAACTGTTTACTCAAATGGTTTCTTGTACGTCTGTTGTTTCTCTCCGGTGGGCCCATCCCTGAGCCAGGGGGAGCTGGGTACAATGAGCCTATTCAGGGCAGAAAGGCAAACGTCCCGCGCTTCCCTGTTCTCTCTGTGGCACCATTCTTTGCCTCCCTGCGCCTCTCTTTTGTCCTGCTATTGAGTAACATCAGTGTGGGCGTGGGGACTGTGTGAATTGCCAGCAGGGAGAGAGTGTGGCCCAGGACACCTGCCTGACGACTTGTGCACAAGGGCGGGCAGCGATGGGCCAGCTTCCCAGGAGCCGCTCTGCCAACACACCAGCGCCAACCTGGGCCTTCTGTTCCGCCTGAGTCACTCTCAGCAGCTAAAGCTGGTGCCGCTCGAGGAGCCTGTGGGGAATAGACAAGTGCAGATTCCAGAGACAGATGCCATTCCCAGCTCGGCCACTGACCAACAATGTGCACTGAGGGAAGATGCTTAATCTCCCTGTGTCATTTCCTCATCTGTAAAATGCGGATGATAAATGTGTTTACCTCGTAAAGTTATTGAACAGATAAATGATATCATCCATAAATGGTGCCCAGAACAACATGTCTGCCAAGTAATTCTAGCACTCAGCAAATGTAAACAGTACTTCCTTATTTTTCCCCCCAATGTCATTTGTTAATCTGTTCATTGAAAAAGGGCAGGGATACATCTCAAGAAGCTAACCATGGTTGTGTCTGGATGATGGAATTGCAGGTTATTTTATTGTCCTTTTTTTTAAACTTATTTGTAGTTTCTAAACTTTCTGTAAGAAATACGTATTACTTTTTTTAAGATTTTATTTATTTGATACAGAGAGAGCACAGCACGGGGAGCGGCAGAGGGAGAGGGAGAAGCAGGCTCCCCGAGGAGCAGGGAGCCCGATGCGGGACTCGATCCCAGGACCCTGGGATCATGACCTGAGCCGAAGGCAGACATTTAACCGACTGAGCCACCCAGGCACCCCTGTATTACTTTCTTTTTTGTTATTGTTGTTAAAGATTTATTTATTTGACAGAGAGAGACACAGTGAGAGGGGGAACACAAGCAGGGGGGAGTGGGAGAGGGAGAAGCAGGTTTCCCGCCGAGCAGGGAGCCCGATGTGGGGCTCGATCCCAGGACCCTGAGATCATGACCTGAGCCGAAGGCAGACGCTTAACGACTGAGCCACCCAGGTGCCACCCTGTATTACTTTCTTAATAAGAGAAAACAAACTCCCACCGAGGATCTACAGGGCTCAGGGAACTAGGGACAAGTGGGTACAGGCGAAGACATGACTGTTGTCCTTAGTGTAGTGTGAAGTCTATGGAAGGAGACAAGACAGGTAGATCAATGATGGGCATTGATGCTCCGTGTGGGCTGAGTATGGGACCCGTCCCCCTCAAGTCGCACTTAGCACTCCAGACATGTCATCAGTTTTGCCCCAACCATCTTTGTACGGGGTCTTTCCCGATCTGGAAATAGGACAGTGAGATGATACACGACGTCAGATAAAGGGGTCACTCCTTTCATCTCTCCCAGCACCCGGGGAGATGGGGATTGTTGAGATCCCTGCCTAAGGCACCTCTTTCTAGGAGAGGGCTTACGGTGCGGACAGAGGTCAAGATGCTTTTAGTAGCACTTCTGACAAACGACACACATGAAACCCAGTCGCCAGGCAGCATGTCAAGTGAAATGAAGAGTAACTTCCTGTTTCTCTATCTCTCCATAGCATTATTAGCATCATCATTATTTTGGCTGGAGCCATTGCCCTTATCATCGGTTTTGGTATTTCAGGTATGTGATTTCTCGCGTTACCGTGACCCACTCACCCCTCACCATTCTGGCCCAACCACTCCATGGGGCCGAATGGAAAGAGTGCAGAAAAATCTCAGAGTAGAACACTGGTTCTTCTGCTTACTGGCTATGCTCTCTTCACCTTAGTCGTTTCACCCCCCTGGGCCTCGGTTTCCTCAGCTATAGGGCCGGGAGATAATGTCACCAGGTAGTTGAGAGAACCAAACAGTGTCCGAGGGAGAGGGCTATGGCTGAGCCATTCTACCAGGGGTTGGCCTGGAGGATTCCTGCTCGGTGAAGCTTCTGCTGACGTGTCCAAGAGTACGAGGTCTTTGCACACCGGGGTCTTAGGGAAAGAGAATACTGGTTGTGACCAGTGGAGGGTGAGTCTCTGAGTGCAGCTGTCAGTTGCAGGAAGAGTTTTGTCTTTCCTCTTCTGTGCGGACCACGTCTTGGAAGCATCTGTTGTGGAGGCACCTTAAGTAAGACATTGAGTGAGGTAGGCCAGCAGCCATCTTCTCTGAGGCAGACATGTTTGCTCCATTTCCCTTAAACCGCCTGACTCCAGCCAACATTTCTATTTTAACGTAGCCCGCGGCCAAAGCTGTCCCTTTGCGACTTTAGTTTTTATAGTTCCAGCTGCCTTTTCTCTCTGTCCCTCTCCCCTGGCATGGGTGTGCGGCCACCAAATCGTGGTCACAAGGCCTAAATGAAGAAAACACATGGTAGATGTGTTTGCCTCAAAAACGCATTAGCCCCCTTCCTCCCTTTCTTTATCAAAAATAGGTATTTCGGGGCACCTGGCTGGCTCAGTCAGTACAGCACGTGACTCTTGATCTAAATGATATCATCATTTAGATGAGCCCCACGTTGGGTGTAGAGATTACTTAAAAAAATAAAATCTTTAAAAAAAGTTATTTTGTCTTTCATCCATTTTTCAATGGGATTATCTGTCTTTCTCTTTTTGATTTGTAGGAATTCTTTTTTTTTTTTTAAGATTTTATTTATTTATTTGAGAGAGAGAGAATGAGATAGAGAGAGCATGAGATGGGGAAGGGTCAGAGGGAGAAGCAGACCCCCTGCCGAGCAGGGAGCCCGATGCGGGACTCGATCCTGGGACTCTAGGATCATGACCTGAGCCGAAGGCAGTCGCTTAACCAACTGAGCCACCCAGGCGCCCGATTTGTAGGAATTCTTTATATGTTTTGGATGCAGTTTGGTGATATGCATTGTAAAATCTCTTCTACTCTATGGCTTTTCACTCTCTTAGTGAAGTCTTTCAATGAGCAGAAGCTCTTAATATCAATCTAGTCCATTTAATCCATCTTTTCCGTTATACTGGAGCTTTTCATAACCTGTTTGGTTAAGAAGTGTTTGTCTATCCCAAGGTCATGAAGAAGTTTTTCTAGGTTATCTTATAGAAGCCTTATTGTTTTACCTTTCACATTTATATCTATTAAGCATCCAGAAGTAATTTTGGGTATGGTGCAAGATAGTGGTCAAGATTCACATGTTCCATGTGGCTCTCCAGTTGACCTAGTGCCATTTTTTAAAACCACTGCCCTTCCCCCACTGCTCATCAGGTGCCATTTTTATCAGAAACCAAGTATCTAAATGTGTATGGATCTGTTTCTGAATGTACTTGCCTGTTTCATGCTAAGATCCCTTTATAATTCATTTTCTTTCTTATGTTATCTCTTTACCTATTCCTAATCTTGGGCACTGTGTGTGTGTATGTGTGTGTGTGTGTCTCCGTCTCCTCTTAAAAAGCAGGTTTATGAGGTCAACAGTGGTTTTGAAAGAACCAGGTTTACGTTTTTTACTTTCTCTGATTGTTTTCCTATTAATTTTGGCTTTTATCTTTTTTAACGTCCCTCTTTCTGCTTTGTTTGCTGTCTTTTAATTCTTTTTTCTAAAATCTTAAAACTAAGCACTTTGGAAAAGAGTATGTCAAAGAAGGCAATAAATAGCTTTTAGTAGATATTGTCATTCAGTTTTCCAAAATGATTTACCAATTTACTCTTCACCAGAGGTGTATGAGAGATCCGGTGCTCCATGTCCTCACCAACACTCGATATTGTGGAATCTTGTTGTGGCTTTAATTTCTATTTCCTAGTGACTGAGGAGAGTGAGTACATGTCCATATGAGAAACATAATGGAGAGTGACAGAGCCAGACACAAAATAGTACATTCTGTATAATTCCATGTATATATAGTTCAAAAACAGGCAAATGAATCTCTGCTATTAGAAAGGCAGGGGCAGAGGGAGGGGGTAGCCATTAGGAGCATGAGGGGACTTGTGAGGGATAATAAAGTCCTAGTTCTTGGTGTGGGTGGTAATTACGTGGGATGAAATTGCGGTAATTCTTCAAACTGCACAGTTACGATGTGTACATTTTTATGTATGTATGTTATACTTTAATAACTCCTATATGTACACACATAGGACAAATATATATTATAAAACATGTGTATATATATTTTTGGAAATAAAATATTAATAAAGCAAATATTTGGGCTAACTTTTAAAGATATAAGTGCATACATTTCGGTGCCTTCCTCACTAATGCTTAATTAATCCTTCCTTAGTTATAATTTACCCTATTCTGGATCTTATATACTACCTTGAATTAAAACCCTAGTGCCTGTCCTTCACTCTAAATCTTAGTGACTAAGCTTTTTGGGCATAGGGCTAAATGGCTTGGCATCGGAGCCCCTCTGGAATTATGTCTTGCTTGTCAGGGGCTTTGACTACCCGAGCAAGAATGTTCATATTGTCCCAGCTTCCCTGGGAAAGTCAACACTTTGCCACTCACACTTTTTCCTGTTGAGTAACTACGGTGACCTCAGGTACTTAGCTCAATTCCCGGAAGAGGGTACTCCCTAAGTGGTTTTTGAATGGACAAGTGAAGGGATGCTTGGAGAGGCAGATACATAGATAAAAGCTAGTCTATTCAGTTCAGCAATATTCCACCAATAATATTAAAAGCCTACCACCAATGAAGAGGTTTTCCGCCTCCTTCCTATTTCATGGGGGTAAGAGCTGGTTGTTCTGGATAAAATGGGTTGTTTATTAATTTAACACTCTTTAGTTGGATTTTTCTCATTTGCTTTTATTAAAAAGACCATAACCCTTACCTGAGAGCATCATATTATCACACTTTAGATAAATTCAATAAAATGTTAGCTGGCTTAATACTAAGGCAGTGAAATTAAGGAAATGGCATTATGTAAGTGATGATGATGGTATCTTTTGAATCCTTCGTATGTGTACTTCACTGTATTAAATAACTCGGCATACATTATCTGATTTAACTCACAACAAATAGGAGATAAGCATTATTACTACATCCTGATAAGTACTCACCCAAGGTTGCACACATCTAGCAGGTGGGACAGTAGTTCCAAGCCCTGGTAATTTGCTTCCAGAATGCACACTCCTCCCTGCTACCCTGTGCTGATAATAACATTCATACAGAATTGTGGCAGAGAAGGATGTTTTCTGATTTGCACTATTTTCTGATAGGCATTATTCCTGAGACCACAGCTTTTAAAGACATAGAGATATTCCTAAATACAGAAAAAAATTCAATGTCTTTGAAACTCTCCTCAGGCCATATATGTCACTTTCTCATAGCCATCCTACTCCTTATAAGTACAAAATAGGGATGCCATAAAACATAAAATGCATTTGAGGTGGACTGTTTGAGAGGATCCCATTAACCCCTGCTTATAGGACAGCGTTTGTGGATGACCCTTCGAGAAGGGGGGAGATATGTGGAAAGAGCCCTGACCCTATTTAGCCCAGTCCTTGTGCTATCACTCACTCACCGCATGACCTCAAACGGCTCCGTGTAAGGGAAGAGTTTAGGAATCAGACAGAGACCTTCTAATCTCAGGTCTGACACTAACTGTATGTCCTTTGGGACATAACTTAACTTTCCAGAAATAGTTTCCTCGCTGGTAAAAGAGTCAGAGCCGTTGTGGGAATTAAATGAGAAAAGTGTTTGTGAAGGACCTGGCACGTGAGCATAGAAAATGGCTGCCACCGCTATTTATATTGCCATTAATAATCATTTGTGATTATTAATGCATTTATATAGCACTTCCTAAAACTTGCACAATTTCCTGGCCACACCAGGGCCGACTTCCTTTGAAGTTAGAGAGGCCAGGGCAGGAGGCCTCAGGACACTGCCTCAGAATCGATGCTGCATCTTTGGACGCTGGATAAGCCAACCAGGCATGTGCTTATGGAACCAAAACAGAAGACTGAACAGATTGTTGGAAGAGCGAGAGATTTTTTTTTTTTAATTGTAATCATCTGAGAAATAGCTGTTGGCCTTTCGTACTTTGGTTTTATGGTTTTCAGTTGTTTTCGTTTTTACGTAAGGTGGGGATACCAGTCTCTACGTATCTCAATCTGCCCATGCATACCAGCAGAACGTGGTAGAAAGAGGACAGGCTTAGTTCCAGACAAGACCGTGTTCAGTACTGGCTCCGCGACTTGCTAGATACAGGGCTGTAGGCAGCGCTTTGCTCCCACGGAGCCTCTTTATCCTCATTTATAAAATGGGTATCATGGTAATTCTTACCTCTCCTGGTTCTTACCAGGCTTAGAACGAGTCACTCTAACTGAAGCACTTAATAAAGCGTTCCTCTCTGCCTGCTGCTCTGATCTGCAATCTTTCCAAATGATTCTAGTTAATAATGGTCATCGATACCATTAAGACCGCTAATACGTGGCAAGTCAGGTACTGTGTTAAGCTCTTTACCTGTGTTGTATCATTTAGGCCTTTCAGGGACCAGCTGAGGGAGCCTCTAACTATCATTAACATCTTCATTTTATAGATGAAAAAAATGATGAAATAAAGCAGTTAGAAAACGTGCCCGAAGTTACATATCCAGGAAGTGATACCGCTGAAACTCGAACCCAGACCACCTGACACCTGTTCTCAAACACCAGCTGCTTCCCACATTGTTCCTTCCTCGAGCCCGGCCC